GCATAAACACGCCGCTGAGCTGTTAGCACAGGTGGAGATCAAAAGCAGACGAGTGTTACCCGATCCAGCTCCAGCGTAAACTTCTGGTCCCAGGATTGGTTGCTGATGGGCCTCCAGCTCGTCTGTCCAACCACGGTGTTGTCCAACTTCAGGACGGCGCTGATCTCATCTAAAGACAGAAAAGACAATCTGTTATCAGGATTCCAGCTGTACAGAACAGCCATGTTACACATAGAGCTCTGATTTCCGGTTCAATTCTGTTTCTTTACTAAATATCTGGAAATGTGGACTATGTGAAATACAGAATGTTTTTGTTCCAGATCTTGCATCTTCTTTGGCACGTTTTTTTTTTGTGAGCATTTCCACTGTGGAGTCAAAGGAAACGCCATTCTGTCACAGCCTGTGATTCGCTACTCCAGTGATGACTGAGTGTGAGAAATAAAAGCTGGATCCAAACTTTGATCAGTGACTGAGTTTAGTTTCAGCCCTGAATTTATAAATATATCAGATTAGGTTTAACAGCCCAATTCAGACGCTCGCCCTTAAATAAAAACATGGCCAACGTCTAGCACACCGATAGGAATGCGTCTACGCTCCTCCCTCCAAGGAAAGCCCTCCCCCAGGAGTGAAGAGAATGTGATCTCTTACACCCGATCTGAAATTAATACATTTGTAAAAATCAGTCTGAAAAACTGTGATTAGGGCCAGACTTGAGATTTTTTTATTTTTTAGAATAAAGTGGTAACATTACTAGAATAAAGTCATAATATTAGGAGAATTAAGTCATCATACCTCAACCTGTTACCAGAATGAAAGTTGTCATAAAATACAACTTTATTCTCATAATCTTACGACTTTATTCTCAAAATAGAGAATAAATCCTGACCATAATACTACATCGTAGTTTTCAAAACCCTTTGTTGATTAAACTGTTTTTCAAAGTTTCATTCATGGATTGTATTTTTTTCTTTTTTCATAGTTTTTCTTTGAACACTAGAGGAATAAAATGCAGTGGTTAGCTGTTAGCTTCAGGGTGATACTCACTGGAGAGCTCTTCGCTCTTGGTCAGGTTCCTGGAGCTCACCCCTCGGTTTCTGTTTGCTCGGCTGATGAAGGATGAGCGCGTCTCGCTGGGGCTCCAGCCAGGCAGCGGGCTGGGGGCCGCTTTGGAGCGGCCGGGGACACTTTCCAGAAGGTCTTGGCAGCCCATAAGTCTGACATCTAGCGTGCCTGAGGACGAAGGTAACCTACCAGTCAGTGTGTTTAAAGTCAACCACTTCCATCTTGTTTTTTTTATATTTCAGTGCATAAATCCAGTTACAAAGATGACTTCATATAAAAACATGACCAATCTTGAACATAAACTACTATCTCATTTAGTTTAGATGGCCAATAGAAAGCAACCTTTTATAAATCACATACAGGCCCGATGGGTCTCTGTGATTCTCAGTTTTCGTCTCCAATCCCTGCATTAATCCCTGCATTAATCCCGTCATTAATCCCGCTCAACCTGACACTTCAGCAGAATTAACTAAATCCTATATTTCTTTGCATCAGCATTTAACAATTCAGCTTCAAAGCGAACCGGCGACCAACATATGACTAATATGATGATGATTCCCAAAATACATCAAACCCAACCCGGTTCTACCAGCTAGAATCTGTGGAGACGCTTCCAAGTTGTGTTCTTGAACGCAGCCCGAGGGGAAGCAGGATGACTAATCCAACCGTTGTTAGCAGAGCAAAGACTGAAATAAAGGGATTATCTGCTACTGGGAGGAAACATGAAGCCAATTCAGTTCTTTGCTGTGAAGCTTCCAGTCTCATCACAATCAAAACCTGTATGATTTTAGCTCCAGTTAGCTTAGGGAGGACTAGTCTGAAATAAATATCATAGTTTATGTTAGAGACACTAAAAGTGATGCCTTAATAATGATACAAATTTACATGCTAATATTAGCTATCAGCAAATAATCTGGCTGCTTTAGATTTTAGTTGCAACAATGTGACAGACTAGCAGGGAAAAGATTATTAAGGGAAATCAGAGTTGGATTAAAAGCTTGATAAAGTGTGAGATAACAGGAGGGCATACTTAGCATGGTGCCGTTATATTAGCGGACATTAGCTTATGGAGGGAGATGATTTTGCTTTGTTTCGATTTGGTTCCTCTTTAGCTACGGCGCAAATTTTGTTCCTGTATTGTTGAGAGCAAAGGACAAAAAAAAAAAAAAAAGTGATGGAAATAAAAAAACAAATTAGGACAAAGAAATTTGTAGAAAATACTAATTGTAATAAAACCGCAAAGTTTGTCTTAAACTTTTTTTTTTTTTTTTACATTTACCTTTTTCATAAGTTTCTGTTTTCCTATTTTTGTTTTTTTTTTTTTACAGATTTTATACATATTTTTTGTATTTGTTTTTCAGATGGAGTTGAATAATTTCCATCCAAAATTGTAATTCCCATATCTCATTTTTTTCACTTCGAGCCCCATACCAACGCTCTCTCTTGACCAATAAAAATGCTGTTGCTAAAGCGTCCGTCACACCCTGACGATTCAGACCAGCGTACGAAAAATCTGGCAAAAATGCAGTTAGCTAGATAAGTCAAGGGTACGTTTGGCGACATGAAGTTATGAGCATGCTAAAGCACGTTGAAACACGCTAGCACATGTCGACATACATATGTCGGGAAATTTTGAGCATAAAAAAAAACTAAAAAAGTTTGCTGTTTTCTTACATTTACATTTTTTCACGGATTTTATTAGTTTTTCAAATTTCTGTTTTTCAAAAAGAGTTTAACTATTTGCATCCTCTTAAAATTGTAATTCCCATACCTCATTCTGCTCGTCCCGAGCCCAATAACGACGCTCGATCTTGACCAATAATAATGCTGTTGCTAACATCTAGCAGACCAATAGAAATGCGTCTTCCCTCCTCATTTCCCAGGAAAGCCCGCCCCCAGAAGTGAAGAGAATGTGATAAGGAAATCGCTATTTAAATCAAATGGCAGAAGGAAAACCCAATCAGAAAAAAATTAAATTGAGAATTTTATGTGAAAATCTGTAAATAAATAAATTGAAAAAATTAACTTCTTTGGGGGAAAAAAATGGAAAATCATTAAAGTTGCTCTCAAAACCTTTAATTACTGCCTTTTTTCCAATTTAAAAACATGTTTGCTGCAACAATAATGGAACACATTTCACCACGTATCAAAGCAGCTGCAGGGAGGCGAGTTTTCAGCCTGTTCAGACACAGGTATACAGGTGTGTCTGCAGACAAAAATAAGGGCACAGCTGTACCAGTCAAACACGTTCCCTAATGTAACACTGCACTGTTGATGTAAACAGTTATGTTTCATTTTATCGCCAATCTGAGAGGAAATATCAGTCCGCCCTGATGCCAGGATAACTTCCTGTGTCTACATAAAACAATTGCGCTTCATGTTTTGCTCTTACCTGTGAGCGCTGCAGGCTTGGTTACGGTGCTGTACTGGTTCTGCGTGGAGATGATGCTGGATCTGGGGCTGAGGGCCGGAGAGGACAGCAGAAACAGCTCCTCGTTGATGGCGCTGCTGCGGGGGTGGTTTTTGGGCAACTCGCTGAGCCGCTGTTCTAACGAGTAGCGCAGGAGGTCCAGTTTCTGACTGGACTCCGTGAAGCGAGCCTGAGCCTGAGGGATAGAAACAATTTCCTCTTTTATTTACCCCCCCCCCATCAAGTCCAGTCTGAGTGATCCTGACCAAGTCCTAGACCAGAGGTCTGCAACGTACGGCTCTATAGACACTCAACTAAGGCTCTTCATCACTTTGGATAATTTTTTTAACAATAGACATACTAAATAAATGCATGTTTTAGCGTTTTCCCCAGTATCTAATTGCATTTAATTTAAAAAAACAGAAATATAAACTATTTTTAATCTTTTTTAAGTGGAAAAAATTTAAACAAAACTATGAACCTATTAAATATTAACCTCTTCAGACTCTAGCCGTAAACTAGATTGTTGTGGGGGAAGGTTTGCAAGCATGTTTGGTCAAGATGCTATGACCGAAAACATTTGATTGACAGATGACCGTTGATATATGATTGGCCGAATTTAGGTGTTCAGGCTGACGTAGAACTAACTAGATTTTTTTTTTATTGAAATTTTCTAAATTTTTGGACAATATGGTCTGATAAAGATTATATTTATTATACATGTTTAAGCCAGAATGATTTGACATTTAAATATGACTTCCCTACGACTTTAAAATAAGATAATTAGATAATATGCAACTGAAATAAGACAATATATTTTTTTTCTTATTCTAAATGTTAATCATGTTGTTCCATTTGCAGAGTGTCTCACTTACCTCCTCAGTTCAAGAAAAAATTTAAAAATGTTGGGTTTTAAAGATAACTTTCCAAAACGTTTAGCAGCCCATTGAGAAATGCATTTATTCTTGTTTTCCCTTAAATCTAAAATGTGAAATGCTACAATGGTTGTTTACAAATGACAAATCTTTCGAGGTTCATATTTCTTAAAAATAAATGTATGCAATCATGCCATATTTTAGCTGGACAAGAGTCCAAAATGTCTCTTTTTGGATGGTTAAGGCTGCAGACCCCCGTCCTTTACAGTGACCCCCTCCAGCCTACCTCTGAGTGAGCTTTCTTTTCTGTAACTTTTCCAGAGCCCAGAAGTTTCATGACGTTCTTGGCTCCCTCTGCCACTGCAGACTCTATCCTGGCGTGGTGACACAGCTCCTCCACCCGCAGGTCCAGAGGACTGATGATGGACTTGTCTGCAGGTCCAGGAGGACAGGTGTTGATAGTTTGAACACACAGTAGTGCGTAACATGTTTTACAATCATTCTTGGTTATTAGAGGTCTAATCATGGTGTCTTTCATGTTTTTCCACTATTGTTTTGAGTGGAACTCTGCTTTATATCTCAGATCAGAAACGATGCAGAACGGATGAGCTGCGTTAAGCCAAACGTTTGTTAACGGGGAGTAACAACAAGAGCTGCGGCTCACCCATCATGTCGTTGCTCTCGAAGGTCAGCTCGCTGGCCTGGCTGGCCTTCAGGATCTGCATCCTGATGAACTCGATCTTGGTTTTACTATCTTGAAGCATCTGCTGAGCCGCTGCCAGTAACTTACGATCCTGTAAACATATTAGTTTTCCGTCAATCGTCGTTAATGCGTTCTGAAGAAAACAAGGACTGAAGCTATACGAGGTGACCAAATTTGGTGCTCCAAGGTCAGTTTTCTGCCCTTAATTGGAGCTGTGACGACTGCACACGTGGAAAACCTTATTCATCAAAAACAATTGTGGACACACACACACACACACACACACACACACACACGTGCAGCGTGAACAAAGCAAACTCCACCCCAAATTCCTGAGAAGTTTAATGCTGCTTGTTGACGGTGGCTGCGTGCAGGAAAGTCCTCGGTCCAGCAGGCATTTCCTCTCTGACATCACGACTGTTTCCAACTGGAAGTGTCGTCCGTCTGTGACCCCCCCCCCACCCCACCGGCCACACAGGCAGCAGCAGGTTAACATCGTTTAGGCCCCATTCTGCTTTCATATGGAAAATGAAATAGATGCACCAACTTTAATTTATTTATTTTTTTGTTTGTTTTGTTTTTACTCTAAAATGAGGGTAAACTAAAACAAATGTATACTGAGACGCCTTATCCAGATACGTTATTAATGAAGCAGGTTAACCATTTTAGATACTGGATTCATTTATATAATAAAAGAATAATACCTCAGAAAACCTTCGGGGTTTTCACTACATGTAAAGGTAGAGAAACAAAAGTTCTTCAGTGTTTTTAATTCAGAGTAATTTCCATGTGAATGTGCTTTACTGGAGGCATCCATGCACGTGGGCATTGTCAGTTTCACTATAGCTCTGGTGAATTTCAATGGTGAAGTCCTCTGGAAATCTTCAATAATTGTTGTTGATTGCAGATGTGTCTAGTAGTTCCCATTGATTTAGCTTGGAAAGCGGGGAGAATGGCGCTAGGCTTACCGCACCATGACGTCACTGTTGGAAGATGGCAGGAGGGAGGGGTTATGAAAACCACGTACGTATTAGTTTTAGGCATTGGTTCTGCTGGAGGTTTCTTCCTGTTCAAAGGGAGTTTTTCCTCTCCACTGTCGCTACAAGCATGCTTAGTGTGAGCGATTGCTGAAGAGTCAATGAGTCGATGCAATCAGCTGGTTTTCCTTAGATAGAAAACGTTGAATCAATCTGACTGGATGATCTGGTTGAACTGGAAAGTGACCTGAGATGACATGATGTGAATTGGAGCTATAGAAATAAACTGAATAGAATTGTATAGATAATGATCCATTGATTATTCCTTGCTGACCGGACTTTTCCTTTAAAAAAGTTAAAACAATGCAAAGCATCTGATGCATCATAATCTATACTTGAACACTTATTCAAAGAAAATCAGAAGTTAAAGGTTAGCGTATGAAGCTAACTGGTGGCTAAAGCGCTTTGCTCTGTTCTGTTCCGGGTAGTGATGGAAAACTGGAGCGTTTCTAACTTAGTTCTTTTATCTAAAGAACTTTTCCAATCCTCTAGTCGCCTCTCATTTCATTGTTCCCAAATAAATGACTAGAGGCAAACCTACACTGTAAAAACAATCTAGAAACAAAAAATAAAAACATTTTAATCAATATTTACACTTAATTTAAGTAGCTTGATAAGATGATTTGCCAATGGAATGAGTATTTTTACTCTTACAATAAGATAATTAGATAATATGCACTTAAAATAAGACAATGCAATTGTTCTTTTCTTATTTTAAATATATATTGTTTCAAGAAGAAACGGCTAATTTCGATTTCCATTTTTTGCAGTGTAGTGACTTTCTCTGTGTTTTGGTGACTTGATGTGAGCAGCAATCACCTCCTGCTTCCCTGATCAGCAGTTAAGCTATTTTATCTCTGCTGAAAATATTACATTTTTTAAGAAATTGGTGTTGCATCCTCCAGCCTCATTAGAAACCTCTCCCTGATATCGCCACCGGAATATTCTTTCTTTTAGACTTTAGACAGATTTTATTAGGGAAGCACGATATTGGGATTTTGGCCGATATCTGATATGCCGATATTTTAAAACTCATGTAGCCGATAACCGATATCGATACCGATGTTAAAGCTGGACAAAAATAAGTAGTCATTGAAAATAGCAGTTTTGTTATCCATTTCTGACACTTTGAAAAATAATATACTCAAATATATTTTCATATGCTGATATCAAATAGATTTTTAAAAACGCGGTATCGATCTATTTTACTTTCAAAATCTGGTGAAATTTCATCTTTCTGTTACAAACTCTCGTGATATTTTGGAAATTCTTGTGAGATTTTGTTAGTAAAATAGATCGATACCGCGTCAATATATCAACATATAAAAATATGGCAAAATTTCGTGAATTTTCGGGGGATTTCGTAGCATAACGATGACATATAGCAATACTTCATTAGTAAAAGAGATTGATATGGTGTTTTTAAATGGCAATATATCAGCATATGAAGATATTGGGATATTTTAATGGATCAATATTTTTTCCCTCGTCTTTAGAAGTTTTTAAGTCTGTAAAAAAGAAGTTTTTGAGGAAGAAGAAGAAGTATTTATTTTTATTTTTTTTTTAGACTTTAGAAACTCAGAAGCTGATCAAATATCGGGTTAAATATCGGTGGGGTGGCCGATGTCCGATATTCAGTTTTAAGGCCGATACCGATAGGGGGCCGATTATATCGTGCATCCCTAGATTTTATTTGTCATTTTGTTAACACAAGAGTCAAACAAAAAGGAATTTCGTCTGGAAACAGCTCACTGGACAATTTCATCTTTTAAAAGTGCAGCCTTGAAAAAGCAGTAAAAATGACTGTAAATTTACAGTTCTAACATTTTTTTCTTCCCTCAGTAACAACCTTCACAATGAAGAGTGTTTGCGGTGCTAAGGTTAAATAAATCTAGCTCCCAGCTGGCTGCTCCGCCTCTCTAACGAATTAAGATATTTCTGCAGTAAACATCAGGCAGCAGCGCTGATGAGCCGCAGACGCTCGCTCTGATCCCTCCTCTTTGCGGTGAACACTGCTAGCATCTAAACGCTAGTTTGTCCTTCTGCTATGCAGGAACACAAAGGGACCACATGAGCCATGGAAACAAACGCCACAGCGTTTCAGCGCCTTCTCATGTTCCTCTTCCCTGCAGAGGAACCGCAGAGATCAACCCGCCATGTTCCAGGCTCGCTCTAAAACCACATTTGCAGCTTCTGCTTTTGGGTCAAACTCTGAGCAGAAACAGATCCAAGAAGGTTCCACTTTATTTAACCCAAAATGTAAATCATTTAGTTTAATTTACCAGCTTCTGACATTCATAAACTGGAAAAATTATCTCGAAATAAGTAAAAATGTCTTAAATTAGATGTATTTACTCTTAATTTGAGTTGGTGAATAAAATGAGTGGAATTACTATTTTTACTCTTAAAATAAGATAGTATAAACTTGATATAAGACAATGCAATTGTGTTTTTTATTTAAAATGTAAATTGTTTTGTTCCATTGGCAAAATGTCTCTAATCTCGGCAATTCAAGAAAATTGGCGATCCAACGACCAACCCGTCCGTGGAGGATCAGGAATTAGAAAGGTGGAATAACTCTTTTTTCCACTTTTCCCCGATGTATTCCAGCATCCAGCTGCCATGCACGTGGGCATTGTCAGTTTCACTATAGCTCTGGTGAATTTCAATGGTGAAGTCCTCTGGAAATCTTCAATAATTGTTGTTGATTGCAGATGTGTCTAGTAGTTCCCATTGATTTAGCTTGTAAAGCGGGGAGAATGGCGCTAGGCTTACCGCACCGTGACGTCACTGCTGGAAGACGGCAGGAGGGAGGGGCTACTATATGCGGGCAAAAATGGCCGCTTCCAGACTCAGTGATCGCGATGAAAATTATTGTTTTTATTTTATTTTTTACTGATTAACGCTACATTCATTAACTCCCCGGGATCGTGTTAGTTCTAGGTATAAATAATGACCCATTGATCATTCCTTGCTGACCGGACTTTTCCATTTAACTTGCTTTATTTTATAAAAGACCTGAAAAGAGAGGCGTTACATGCACTTTAATCATCTTTAATGTTTGATCAGTGTGTGACATATTGACTTTAATCTCAGCCAGGCTGCAGGAAATGTTCTGTAAAAATAGTTAAATGCATAACTGAGCTCTCCAGCGATTTAAACGGATGGGAAACTGCAGATCATCAAAGGATCAAATAAAATTTTGACCTCTGGTTGTTCCAGTTTAGTCGATGAATGGAAGTTTGTGTTAGCCTGTTTTTAGCTCAGCTTTTGCCATTATTAAAAAAATAACGGCAGATCCCAAAAATGGCCGCTCCCAGACTCCCAGCCAGCTGAGGTGGCTCAGGCATCTGGTTAGGATGCCTCCTGGACGTCTCCCTGGTGAGGTGTTCCAGGCACGTCCCACCGGGAGGAGGTCCAGGGGGAGACCCAGGACACGCTGGAGGGACTTTGTTTCTCTGCTGGCCTGGGAGCGCCTTGGGATTCCACCGAAGGAGCTGGACCAAGAGGCTGGAGGTCTGGGCCTCCCTACTGAAGCTGCTACCCCCACGACCCGACCCCGGATAAGAGGAAGATGGATGGATGGATGGATGGATGGATGGATGGATGGATGGATGGATGGATGGATGGATGGATGGATGGATGGGATTCAGATTTTAGGGGACTAATAAAACAATTAGAACCTTTACTTATTTTTTTTCACACATTGACTTTAAAATCATTTCTAATCATTTATTGGAGAAAAAAATAATAATTTGGACACTTCAAACTGCTTAAAATGGAGTGAGCCTATCTGATTATTCTCTTGGCAAATTCATAAATGTAAGTTTACACATTCCAAAATATCTTTTATTGCTTTTAACAATGAGGTCAAGCAATATGTCAACACGATTAAGTATTCTCTTGATCAAAAGGCAACAAAAACTGTAAAAGTGTGTAAACAATTTAATATCTTTTTGTAAATTGTACTTTCCCTGGCAAAATGTGATGATTTTCATTTTTGTTTTTAGTTTTATGTTAAAATGTTGCAATGTTGGATACTGCACAGTGTAATATTTTCTCAATGGAGACGAATGTTCGTGTATTTATGTAAAGTATGCAATTGTTGAATAAAAAATAAATAAATAAATAAATGGTGTGCCTCCTTCCTCTTTGCAGCGCTTACCTTGGAGGAGCCGTTGGAGTACATCTGGATCATGTTTTCGGCCCCCTGCTTCACCTTCAGCTCGATGTCGTTCTGCCGCTTTAAAGCCGCCAGGCGGCTGTTGCTGGTGCACATTCTAGGTTCGCTGCTCGGTGTATCTGGTGTTAAAGGGCACTCTAGGAGGAGAAAGAAAAGGGGGAAAAGATATGGTCACATACTGGGAGCCAGGGGCGGATTCAGGAAATTTCGGGCCCTAGGCAAAGACAGGCAGGGGGCCCTTTGAACTGAGAAGACAACACATAGAACAGACCCATTCTCCAGATAGAGAAATGTTAATAGAATAGACATCCATTATCTGTTCTAGGTTGTGTCCCTCTCTTCTTGTCCCTTTTCTTCTTGTTTTCCTCTCTATGTTTTGTACTCAGCTGACTTTTCATGCTGTCTCTAAAGGAATGAAAGATTTTTTCCAAGCACTAAGCTCACTTAGCTGATTGCTCCTTCCTGTGTTTCCAAAAAGGCCAAAGTAAATAACCCAGTCCTTCTTTTCACTGTAGACAAGCCATGATCTGCTTATCTGTTCTCCATTTTTCATTTGGATGAAATAATAGCTGCATGAATCATGACAGCAGACAAGATAGAGGAGAGCAGGAGGCGGGGTTACCAATCTACTCGCTCTGGAGAGCAGAGTTCGCTGCTTTTAGATGTTGTCTCCAAAGTCTCCAGTAGCAGAAAAAAGTCTCTAGATTTGGCGCTAGGAGCTTTTTAGAAATCAAAGTGCTAGAGGGGTCTGAAAAGTGGCTAAATATAGCGACTAAAGCGCTAAGTTGGCAACACTGCTCTTTGCATGGTTTGTTTTCAAATGGTTTGCTGCTGTCTGTTTGGACCTTTCTGAACATGTGCAGCAAATGGACTGATCCAATATGGTGGACACTGAAGGGGGGGGGGCTGAGACACACTTAATATTATCAGCGTTCTGATGGCATTTTAGCGAAAGAGAGCAACTAGATCCTTTTTTAAGTCATTTTGCTTTAAGCTGGTTGAAATCAGTCCTCTTTGCTCCTTAAAGTTCTTCTGTTAATCTGTTTTCTGTATTTATTCTTTATTTTGTGGAGCATTCGTTGAATTCAGCCTTCACCTAAAAATATAAGTCATTTTCAAACATTATTTCTTTATTAATATTTAATAAAGACAAATCAAATGATAAAGATCCTTCCAAATACCTCCTTTGCATCCCTGATGTCATTTTCTTTCTAGTTCAACGACCAAAACAGAACAAATACAAACACTAAATTCATTCACATTTAATGAATTGCATTTAAAGACACCCCCGCTTACTTTTTATTGACACTCATCTTCAAAATGAAATTGCTTTAAAACTTAAATGCAAAACATTTAATATTAAATGTTTTTATGTTTTAGAGCAAACACTAAATATACAGTTGTCTTATTTTGTAGTGATTTCACTTTTTTTAGGAGAATTTTCCTTTTTCTAATTAAATTTTTAAATAAAATAAAATAAAAACTAAATAAATAGCCAGTGGTTTATTCGTTTTTTTTCTCATTTTATTTTGACACAGCTAAAACAGAACCGACTCTGCATGGATTGATAAACCGCTGGTTTTTCTGGTTCCCTTTCAGCTCTCAGCAGTAGAATCTAAAGAAACAAAAAAACACTTTAAATTTGAACTAAAAAAACACACAAACAGGCCAACCGTCTAGTTCTGCTGTTAATTTAGATCTTTTCCGTTTCTGTAAGTCAGCGTGGAGACGCTCACCATCAGGACGGATGGTAAATACGATGCGCCGCGTCTCCTGATGCGCCTCCTGAAGCAGGAGGAGCTAAAGAAGCGCTGCTGTGAGTCGTGCTTCTGGCTGCTAAACACACACTAATACGTTCGGTTGAAACACCTGTAGGACGAGAGCAGAGAGGAAGCGCGTGGCCCTGCGCCGAAACACTATGCGAGTCACGTAGAGTCATCTAATAGGCTGAGGAGCGCCAGATTCTCCGTTTAACAGGAGCAGAGGAAACATGGAGGAGCAGAACCATTAAAAACAGACCTGATGCAGACAGGAGGCCTCTGATTGGTCAGATCTACGTCCACTCTACTCTATGAGTATTTCCTGTTTGGTTTTTTACCGGCTTGTTCTGTTTGTCTGGCCGCCATTGTGGAAAACGACTGGTGAAAATGGAGCAGCTAGCAGAGGGAGGTGCGCGAGAAAGCTGGGACCCTTTTTCCACCTGGATCTCCGCTCTTTTTGGCCCTCAGGTCGCTCCGTCGTCGGACTAAACTCGCCCCCACTTCCTCTCCGCCTCGGCCGTATCTAGACCCACAGCTAGTTCCTGATTGGCCCTCTGGCGTTGTGGCGTGGAATAACATAGCGCAGACCACGCTTCAATATTGGGCAGAAATCTAAATGATCTGCGACGCGCTGCAGAGGGAGGATAAGCAGGCGTTACGTCGACGGCACAGCGCGGAGAATGTGTCTCATCCGGTTTATGTAAGGGGTTTTCCTCTCTGTGAGGGGAGGAGGAATTCAGGGACCCCCACCCTTAGAGAGGGCTGTGGGACAACATGGTGAATAGCTGCAGGGCTGATGTCAGTCTTGGAGCCCTGACAGAGGGGAACCCTCCCCAGGCTGCATCTGATTGGAAGATGAACATGACATCATCACTGAGGAACTTGGAGCCAAAAGCGTCCCGATAAAAGCAGCCGATGGTGGATAACAGACAGAAAGAGGAACCTGACCGGTTACTCTACATCAAAGCTGCTGGTTTCTGGCCTCAAATGAGAGGAGAGAAAAATGCCCCCCACCCCCACCCCCCCTTCCAACAATAGACGACTCTCTTTACTAATTCAGGAAGACGGTGAAGTCTCTCCAGGAGCGCAGTGACAGCCAGTTACATTCCTCTGCCGGTGCGTCACCTCCACAGAAAGCCCTTTGTCATCAGATAGGAGGTCGCCCAGTCAAGCTAAATTTGTTTCCACTTAAGATAACAACAAGCTTCCCTTTCGCACTCAAACGCACACATCTCACTCCCCATCGTCTGCAGACAGACCGGCCATGCTGCAGACAGCTCCTCCATAATGTGGTTAAACTCTCTCTAAATTCCAGCGCTGCTGACAATGCGCACAGGAGCAGCAACAGCCCCGCAGACCAACAATCGGCAGCTTATTGTAACCATCGCAGGAATGCGGGAATGTCAGCCTCTGGAGAGTGAGTCACCTCCAAAACACTGGATGAGCTCTTTGTGTCAGCCTGCATGTTTAGATAGCCATTCTGACACAACTACTCTCCTAAAATTGTTTACACTGTTATTATTTGTATTTAGGGTTAAAATGACGACACAGTAAAAACAGAGGGAGTCGTACGGATAACGGGCCTGGTTCTTTCGGACTCGGGTCGGTTTCGGGCTGACTTTCAAGGCCCGTTTCATGCTCTAGTTTGAACCAAGAGGTCCATCTGCTAAAAACAGATGATTAATTCAGGACTGAATGTGGTGGTCAGTGAACACACCGTTCCAAAACCGACACCTGAAGGGTTAAAAAATAATTAAAATAATGAAATGATAAACGGTCAATGGAGCTATCATTTTTGGGCCATAATATTTGCTCAAAAAGAGGTTTTTTTTTACTTACAAAAAAAAAAAAAAAGGGGTGTGGTTGCAGACCTCCTGCACTCCAGAAGTTTCTTCCTGCCGTTTTTATTCAAAGAGATTAAGTCAGAATTCTGAGAAAAAAGTCAGAATTCCGAGATTAAAGTCAGAATTCTAAGATTAAAGTCAGAATTCTGAGATTAAGTCAGAATTCTGAGAAAAAAGTCAGAATTCCGGGATTAAAGTCAGAATTCCGAGATTAAAGTCAGAATTCTAAGATTAAAGTCAGAATTCCGAGATTAAAGTCAGAAATCCGAGATTAAAGTCAGAATTCTAAGATTAAAGTCAGAATTCTGAGATTAAAGTCAGAATTCTGAGAAAAAAGTAAGAATTCTGGGATTAAAGTCAGAATTCTAAGATTAAAGTCAGAATTCTGAGATTAAAGTCAGAATTCTGAGATTAAAGTCAGAATTCTGAGATTAAGTCAGAATTCTGAGAAAAAAGTCAGAATTCCGAGATTAAAGTCAGAATTCTGAGATTAAAGTCAGAATTCCGAGATTAAAGTCAGAATTCTGAGAAAAAAGTCAGAATTCTGAGATTAAAGTCAGAATTCTAAGATTAAAGTCAGAATTCTAAGATTAAAGTCAGAATTCTGAGATTAAAGTCAGAATTCTGAGATTAAAGTCAGAATTCTGAGATTAAAGTCAGAATTCTGAGATTAAGTCAGAATTCTGAGAAAAAAGTCAGAATTCCGAGATTAAAGTCAGAATTCTGAGATTAAAGTCAGAATTCCGAGATTAAAGTCAGAATTCTGAGAAAAAAGTCAGAATTCTGAGATTAAAGTCAGAATTCTAAGATTAAAGTCAGAATTCTAAGATTAAAGTCAGAATTCTGAGATTAAAGTCAGAATTCTGAGATTAAAGTCAGAATTCTGAGAAAAAAGTCAGAATTCTGGGATTAAAGTCAGAATTCTAAGATTAAAGTCAGAATTCTGAGAAAAAAGTCAGAATTCTGAGATTAAAGTCAGAATTCTGAGATTAAAGTCAGAATTCTGAGATTAAAGTCAGAATTCTGAGATTAAAGTCAGAATTCTGAGAAAAAAGTCAGAATTCCGAGATTAAAGTCAGAATTCTGAGATTAAAGTCAGAATTCCGAGATTAAAGTCAGAATTCTGAGAAAAAAGTCAGAATTCTGAGATTAAAGTCAGAATTCTAAGATTAAAGTCAGAATTCTGAGATTAAAGTCAGAATTCTAAGATTAAAGTCAGAATTCTGAGATTAAAGTCAGAATTCTGAGAAAAAAGTCAGAATTCTGGGATTAAAGTCAGAATTCTAAGATTAAAGTCAGAATTCTGAGAAAAAAGTCAGAATTCCGAGATTAAAGTCAGAATTCTAAGATTAAAGTCAGAATTCTGAGATTAAAGTCAGAATTCTGGGATTAAAGTCAGAATTCTGGGATTAAAGTCAGAATTCAGACTTTTTTCCCCATGTTAAACTAAAATAAAATTTAAAAATCAGTTAACTTTTTTTTTTTTCTCCAGTGGCCCTAATCCTCTTCCGTACATAGCACGCCTGATTTTATTAGAAGAAGAGGGCTTTTTTTTTTGCGAGGTGAGTGCTCCCTTAAATCTGCCTTTTCCCCAGCGAGCCGCCGCCTCCTCTAGTGATGTCACCTATAAGATGCTAAAATGCTAATTGAAGAAAATGAATGGAGTTTAAATGGCTCAGCCATCGGCTCGTCTTTCTGTTATGCAGAGGCTGATTTCTCACCATGTGATGCTGCTTCTGCTTCTAACTGAAATCATTCACATCCACTGACAGCAGAAATCTTCTAGGATTATTGTTCTTAAAGAGAAACCTGCTGAAGGAAGGTTTACAGAAACCAGCAGACGGCCACAAATCGTTGATTTGTGCCGCTTGGAAGATAATGGAATAAATGTAAGTTGACTGAAATTACCTGAAAGCTCTTCTGGATCTTTGACTACGATGTGAGCGTTCAGTTCTTGGAGCTCCTGGTGGAGCTCCTCCACCTTCTTGTTCGATTTTTTCAACATATTGTCCACATAAGCCAGACTCTTCTTATCTGTGGTGACCTGAGGAAAGCAAAGGGTATATGGAGTGAAGTTTGTTCCATTATTGTTGCAAGCAGAGGTTATATTCTAATCTCTTTTTTTTTTAACAAAATTGGGGTGGACTTCTTCTGGATTGAAAAGCCTATTCACATTTTTATTGGTCTACATGGACAATGACAACATTTGCAATAACGGGTGTTTGTATTGGGTTGACCAATAAAAAGCAAAGAGAAATAAAACATCAGTTACTATCAAAACCTTTTTCTGTTAAAAGCCTTTTCAAAGTGTCATAACTGGATTGTTGAAATTTACCTCCAAAAGACTGGAGGTAAATTTCAATTTTGTTCCCTTCTAACAAAAATGAAACAAAATTTATTGCTGAATCAATAAGGAGACATGTTAAAAAATATCACTAAAGTTAGAAAATAATGTAAAATATGCAACCCATTAAAAACTGGAAAAGAAGACTGCACCATTACAACTCTGGATTAATTTCTAAAAGTGAATTTTAAAGACAAAAAACACAAAAAAACAAAATCCAGTGGAGTATTTGAGGGCTTACCTTACGCAGGTTCTCTGCACCTTCTTTGATCTTTAACTCCTTGCGGATCTCTCTGCGGATCTGCTCCTTGATCTCGTCCAGCTTCTGCTGGACCATGGTGTCTGACAGATCCAGGTTTTGTCCCAGACCAAGTCGCTCCGCCACCAGCTGGGCCCTGGTATCCCCCTGAGGAAGGGAAGGCGAGTAGAAAGGAATCATTATTCCAGAGCTATCTCTATAGTTCTGCTGCTATAGGCTTAGACTGCTGGAGGACATAGGGACCCCTTTTTCATCATTCTGCTTCATTCTATCTCTATTCTCCCACTCTGCAGAATCTGTTAGTTCAATCTCTAACGTTCTGCTCTCTCTGCTTTTTCTCATAGTAGCTTCATCTGGTCTGTTCCTGTTTGGCTGTGACTCCATCCTGGAGAGAAATATCAGCTGTGCTGCTGCCATCAACACCTTTGTTTCTAGATGTTGGAGCTTGGCCTGTTTTCCAGTGTAGTCCCGTTTCTCTGACTGTGACTAACTAGATGTGCTCTCTTCATCCTCTGACATGGAAGCTGGCTCGGAGCTCGTCTGCCTGGCTGTGTGTTTCCTGGACGGGGCCGCCTGTGGAGCTGGTTGACAGTTGCCTTTTGTATCTATGCTTCTTTTTCTATGTCTGCTTCTGTCTCCTTGAACCCCAGTGGGCCTCAGCAGATGGCCGCTCACACTGAGCCTGGTTCTGCTGGAGGTTTCTTCCTGTTCAAAGGGAGTTTTTCCTCTCCACTGTCGCTACAAGCTTGCTTAGTGTGAGGGATTGCTGAAGAGTCAATGAGTCGATGCAATCAACTGGTTTCCCTTAGATAGAAAACTTTGAAACGATCTGACTGGATGATCTGGTTGAATTATCTCTGTAAAGTCCCCTGAGATGTGCTGTGAATTCTCTCCTTGCTCAAGGCCAAAACTCAGCATGTTTCTTCATTTTAGTTGATATGAAAAACTGCCAAGAACGCACACAAAAAAAAAAAATCTTGTACAAAGTTTATTATTTTGACTTCTTTTTCTTTGTTTTTCTTTTTAAATAAAATTCCTCAGATGTAACATTAAAAATATTCAATATACATATAAAACCAAATAAAACCAAGAACATCAGTCAGTTATAAACGCTAAAATAATCATTACGTATTAAAGGTAGACGATACATAGGCTGGAGAAAACTTTGAGTGGATATTAAAGTATTTTTTCTTTTATTTACAGACGTGTTTGTCCATTTCTTCGTATATTCAGCCGCCATGTCTTAAGATCACATTAAGCAGATGATTGCCTCTCCCTCCATCTGTTATCGATTGTTAATGTTTAGTTTGTTATTCCTACATCTTAAGCCAATAGTGTTATTGGAATCAAGGACAAGACTTTATTACCTTTGTAACATTCAAAACTTATGGATATTTTGATGGCAAAAATGAATGTCAATTTAATAACAAGAAACGGCAACTTGCCCAAATATATTAAGAAAAAACCAAAAGACCTTCTATAAGAAATAAATGAAAAACACTCTCTGAGTGAAAGAAACCCATATTTTTGGTCCAACATAACCTTGGAGGCATTAATGCTGATACTGGTACTAACATTGTTTAGTTTATAAATCTAAATATAACTGTTATTTAGGCTAATTCACTTTTTAACTTTTCAAATTTTTTTTTTTTACTTTTTTCAAACTTAGTTTACAATAGGTAATATATCATTGAAGGGCTCATCTAATTAGTGAAATCCCAAAATAAGAGGTACAGCATCTTTACTGAATGGCTGGATGTAGATCTTGTGCTAGAACGGGGTGGGGGGGTTAACCCCCCCTAATAAAGCGACCCCTATGGGGGTCGCCAAAGTTTTGGTCGATTAGGCTTTTTTTTATATTCTCTTGCTATTTTTTTCCACTAATTGAAATGCCAGTGGTGGTTCCACACCAAATGTAGCAGGGGGCCTGGAGGGGGCCAGTGTGTTTTTTCCATGGGGGTACAGAAAAGCATGAAATAAATAAAATTAATAGAGCTTCATGAAGGGAAATTTCTATTCAATTCGGTTTAATTCAAATTCTTTTCTTTAAATGTCTTAGGTCAATATACATTCAGAATTTTTGAATTTTACATATTTTTGACTTAATTTAAGTTTAAATTGCAGTTTTCTATAAAATCTGAATTTGAACTCAAGAAAAACTGATAAATTCAGCTGTAAAAATTAGAACAATTTGTTTTGAAAAAAACATTTATCAGATAAAAACTGGGATCCTATCTCAATAGCACAGAAGCTATCACCTTATTGTTTTTAAATAATTAGTAAAACTGAATTTGTAAAGGAAGAAAAATGAAATAGATCAAAAGGAGCTATCAGTAACCATGTCTGTTCCAGAGCAGATCATCATTAGAATTTATTTGAGTATTATGTCTTCAGTACAGGAGCCATAACAGGGGCACTGGCCCCCGTTGGCCTGTCTAGAACCGCCCATGATCAATGCACACATTCAGTGACACACAGGAACTCTTTCCGTTTCATTCACAACACCTGTCCCATCAACCAGGAATCAGAAATACAACTATAACAACTATACAGATTAGATATTCTAAGGGCTGCAACAATTATTTTGCAAATAGATTAATCTGTTGATTCTTTTTCCAATTAACTGATTATTAATCAGATAGCCAAAGGTTCCTTGAAGATTTATGAAATGATACCAGGTAAAAATACAGATTTTCCACTTGAGGAGTTCTGGATAGAGCAGATTAATAGACAGAAAAGGTTTTTTTTATCTTAAATGCAAACTGTTTATGCATTTGGTTTTACAATCGTGGTTTAATTCCTGCTCTAAGTGAGTCGCTCTGTCAGCTAAAGGCAGGTTTTACAGTCTCTATACTCCAGTTAATGATTGATAGTTGAAGATTATTTCAATAATCGATTAATCTGATTGTTTCAGTCTTAGATATTACTAACCAACCGTACTGACCAACATTATTTTAGCCGATCACATTCCCACACACCGCAGCTTCTTTAAGGGAAAGTAGAGGGAGGAGCCAAACCTGTTAACTGGCCTTCTGACCAACCAACCTCCCTCTGGCTTCTCTCCAGCGTCAGTTAAACCTGATCCAGCCTCAATGCGCCCTCTTTTCTCCGCCGCTGTCAGTCACCACTGACCCGCATCTTTAAAACCCTCACTTGGTAATCGATAACTCGTTAACAGGAGTATACAGACTCTAAATCAGGTTTAACCAATTAAAAATCATCCAGGGTCTGAATAAAGAAAGTCATCAACCAGTAAAGGTCCGGAGACATTTTTAATTATAATCTGTTACTTTAAACTGAATTTAACACTGAAATAAAATGAGGTTTTTATGCGTCCATGTTATACATTGAATTTTTAAATAAATAATATAAAAAATTTTTTTCATTTTAAAATTGTTTTTGAAGTAGATAACAACAATCGTTCAGTTTGATTTTTATACAATTTCCTGATTCCCATATTTTCTCAAACAGCTGAACTTAGCGTTTGTTATTTCGCTCCGCAGGGCTTTACCGTATTAACAGGAGAAGAGGTGCAAGTGAAATTAGACACTGTCGTCAGACAACATGCGGTAATTTTTAATGTTTTAAATCAGGTTGGGTGAACTTCTCCTGGTGAACTTTCATAAAAAACTTTCTTTAAGGAAACGTAGGCTATCTGATTATTAATCAGAATAAAAATAATCGACAGATTAATTGATAAATAATCGTTCCAGCCATATAATATATTGAGCTAAAGAAGATATATTTTTTCTCATATTAAATTTAATACCGCTCAATCCAGAACTTCTCAAGTGGAAAAGTTTTAGTATTTTTACCTGGTTTATAATTTCGTAAGAAATCTTCTTTGAGAAATCTTTGGCTATCCGATTATTGATCAATGAATGGAAAAAAAATAATCGATAGATTAATCGATTTGAAAAATAAATGTTAGTTGCAGCCGTAACTGATTCCAAAACCTTATGTCAGGATACGATGCTAATCTAGCATGTATCTATGCTCAAGACAATTAAAGTCTGCATATTTTTGCTGTAGCCAATCGATATCTTGATTATTTGCATAAGGGATATAAACAACTTATTGGTTTACGATGAATTGCTTATTATTGGTTTATTGGATTAAAACTGTTTCCATCTGATTGATTGATAGATAATGTCCACTTAAAAGGAATCTGGAATCTGTCCAGTAGAGGGCGCTGCTGTTGATTCATACCCCAGATTCCATATCCTCCGTCTCCACCCCCACGTACGTCGTGTGGAGTACTTGTCTGTCAGATTAACCAATGAGAACTGTTCCACAATCGCACGTAAATGTCCACGTACACCTTCAGCGTCCTTCACCGTCAAAATAAAAAGCCGAGCTATTTTTTGCTCTGCTCCGGCAAGGTCAGGAGCCGCATTTGCAATCGCACCAAACAGGAGAAGGAACAGAGAGAAGATCCGGTTTGCTAAATTAAAATACAGTAACGACCGATCACTAACTACAAATTAGTAGTGTTGCTCCGATGCCATGTTTGGCCCCGATAGCCGATACCTGGCTGTAGAGTATCAGCCGATACCCTCTGTTTGAAATTGATGTGTGTATCTGAAGAACTGCAGACTACTTGGATGTAAAATCATTGCCATCATGGCTTCATGTCAAGCTGCTGCCTTCCTTTGTGAAGCAGGAAAAAGACTAAAACAAAGTGAATCCAGTAGAACTTTTTATTGCCTACCTGGAATGGGCGACAATAGTTGAAGAAACATTGGGCACTCAAAGTGCCCTATTGGTTGGTACTCGCCAATACCGATACCACCATTTTATTGCTGGATCGGGGCCCCGCCTGATACTTGCATCAGTGCATAATTACAAGCTAGATCATAATACTTATATATTTCCAAAAACTAAGACCGTTTAATTAAATGATTGGATGCAAACTGGGTCAATTGGAACCGACGCCTACTGATGACATCACCACATTCAAAGCTAGTCTGGAGCCGCATTTCACCTCCTGTTATTAATAGTCTCTAGATAATAATAAATTATGACTTTTTTCATTTAGTGGGGGAATAATAGTTATTTACTGATTTAGTTACGCATTAAATTAGTAAATGGGCCATAAAATGAAGCTTAATTTATAATGTTCTCACCTCAAATGATCTTAAATGAAC